CGCCGCTTTCTTGCCGGCGTTATATAGCCGCCGCTCCCGGGCCACTTGTTGCCGCCGCCGCCGCCACTCGCTCGGCGCGCTCAGCAGCCCGGCTGGCGGTTAACTCCGTCCTGCCCGCGGCGAGGAATCGGGAGAGGTGCCCCCGCTTGTGTCTCCGCGGGTGGGTGGCGGCTTCGCATTAAAGCGAATGCGGCAATGAAAGCTTCATATATAGCCAACCTTTTTCAAGTTGATGTTAAGCGTGGGTGAGACGACGGTAGCATTGGAGAACGGGAGCAGCAGTTCCATGCTTTGCCAAAAAAGTCAGACCTTTTAAGTGTCTTCAGTTGCCACTTACCGGTCGTCATCCCGCCTTTGGAAAAGATTGGGGGGGGGGACACCTAGTCTACAGCTGTGATCAAGTGGCGGCTCTCCCTGTTGCTCAAGAGCTGCCCGGCTCCCTCCAACATTTGCCTTCAATATTTAATTTATACCACGCCTCTCTCCTTCCCCAGAAGGTGTTCGGCAGAGTGAACAATGTCAAAATGCAGAGTGAAACCAAAATACTGATCAACATGATACAGAATGTATTAAAAATGCAGTTTAAAAACTACACTAAAAGAAGTCACTCCGGCTGATTAGAGCACCACACCTTAAGCAACAGAGGAGCGTAGCCTACATGCCGGAATGACCTTGTCTTTTGCTTTCTGGTGTTTCTTTCTTTCTTTTTTTAGTTTTTATTTATCTAAAACATAAACATAAACAAAAATACACAAATCAAAATACAGTATAACTGTTCCCCACCACCCTAGACGGGACCTCTTGCTATAATCTTCTTCCTCCATTCATAGTCTTCCTCTTCTTTTATTGCTCTCTTCTCCACAACTGCATTGATTCTGGATTTGGAGCTTTTCCCTTTCCTCTTGTTAATACATATCCCAAGAATCTGCCCCGCCTTCTGGTTTCCTGGCCAAAGCTGAGACGAGCGTAGCCTACATGCCCGAACGACCTTGTCTTTTGCTTTCTGGTTTTGCTTTCTTTTTTTTAGTTTTTATTTATCTAAAACATAAACATAAACAAAAATACACAAATCACAATACAATATAACTGTGTTCCCCACCACCTTAGAGGGGACCTCTTGCTATAATCTTCTTCCTCCATTCATATTCTTCCTCTTCTTTTATTGTTCTCTTCTCCAGAACTGCATTGATTCTTGATTTGGAGCTTTCCCCTTTCCTCTTGTTAATGCACATCCCAAGAATCTGCCTCGCCTTCTGGTTTCCTGGCCAAAACTGAGATTTGTGAGATTCGCGCAAGACGGGAATGCCAATGCAGGACTGACGGTGCAGTGGTTAGGGGGTCGGACAGCTCCTTGGGAGATCCCAGTTCTATTCCCATTGAGCCAGCCATGAAATTTGCCAGGTAACTTTGGGCTAGTCATGTTCTCTCGGGCTGATCTACATGATAGGATTATTATGAAGATAAATTGGAGTGGATGTGGACCCTGTGTACATCATCTTGCTCTCATTGAAGGGAAAATGGAATGTACAAGCAACTGATATGGGCTTTTTAAAAAGAAATATTAGAATAATCTGGGCATGCTGGTCAGAGCTAGAAATTGCTGCAAAGACTTCTAGAAAAGAAGTCTGAGAAGATAACTGAGGAAAGGAAGAGGGGTCAAAAGTGATCTCTGAAGTGGTGCCAGACTTGAATGAGTCAGTCACAATGTGGGATGACGATGATGCGCACTGTACAGGATGTGAGAGAATACCTTTTCAAGGAAAAAATTTGTTTCAGAAAATAACAGTGGATAGAAGCAACGCTTCACACACACCCCTCTTTTCCTTACACCCTAGTGTGCTGCAAATGTGTTTCAAGAAATGGACTCATTCTGTGAAAAAGCCTGTTTGTCAAAGGAAAAGGCTACAGTAGGTTTTTTTTTTTGTTATTTTTAATTTTAAAACACACAACAATACATTGGTACGTCTTTCACAGAGGAGTCTCTCTGACTGGGGTCCTGCCCACCACCATCCTCTGACCTACTTCCTTGAATGTAAGAAATTGGGTTATTCTGCTAAGGGAAAAAGGCAATTGTTTAAAAATGGATCAGTACTAACTACCTCCACAGGTGTACAAACTTACTGTGTAAGTAGGTCTCAGATAGCAAACATAAGTTGGAGAAATGAACTCAAACCAAAACAATCTTTTCATTTCCCCTTAGTTACTTGTGGAGGAAAGTCCTATTATACTGTTAGGAAGCATGGCCAAATAATTCTAATTTGTCCATGGCTAAAGATCCTATACCCATTGCATTTATTATTTGAGAGAGGTGCTTTATTGTGAAATTGTGGGTTGGATGATTTGCGATCAAATTACTTGCGTGGGACATGGCTCTGAGTCTCCTTGCAGGAAAAGCCCTGGGGAATCAGGAAGGTGCCATGCCAGACCTGTGCTGGTGTACCACTCCCCACCCCCACCCCCACGCCGGCCAGTAGAGAACTCTTCCTGGCAATAGTACTACTAATTACACTGCTAGAAAGGAAGTCTATACTGGCTATTTCCCTACTGTCCACATGCAGGTCTGCCTGCAGCAATGGCTCTGAGGAAGTCACCCCCATGTCCTAAAAGGTCTTTCTGGCCAGTTCCAGGATCCTTGGATCCTTCAGTCAGAATCTTCTGGTCCACCAGGTCTCTTCAACAAGATTTTTCTTCTACTGTTCCCTCTATTTGTACTCTTCTCTGCTTTCACAGAAACCTTGTACAACAACCAGCAGTCTATCGGGACCAACATGACTCTTCTGGTTTGCAACTTAAAGAGTTCCTCTTTCATAGCTGGAGCTATGGTAGAGGACGAGGAAAATGGACTACCTGTAGCATCCACAACTGATGCTACAGGTACAGTAGTCCATTTGCTTTTGATAACGCTACGGAAAGGAGTGTGTGAGGTGATAGAAGAGAGCCCCTGTGTGTCCCTTTTGTCTGTCTCCAATGCCTTGAGTTTCCTTTCAAACCTATTGCTCACCATGGTCCCATACTTCTTGAGTATCTCATGCATCTCACTCTTGGTGACACAGAACCTCAAAAAAAATTATTCACAAAATTTTAAACATATGTTGTGCCCTAATGATGGCACACTATGTGGCTTACACAGGTCACTATGTATTAAATCCAGCACCTTGGTGTTCCATCCGTCCATCCGTCCGTCCATCCGTCCATATATCCATCTATCCATCTGTCTGTCTGTCTCTGCATTTAATTTCTAGCACCACTAGTTCTAGCATAATTCTAGCATACATTTGAATTTACATTATGTGGCTTACACAGGTCACTATGCATTAAATCCAGCACCTTGGTGTTCCATCCATCCATCCGTCCGTCCAGCCATCCATATATCCATCTATCCATCTGTCTGTCTGTCTGTCAAAAATATTTTTACCCAACCTTTCTTCTTAAAAAGGACCCAAGGTGGCTTACATCCTGTGATACAGCTTATGCTCCTGGCTGTGCTACCTGCATCATGTGGGTTTACTTTGATACCTGTAGCAAGTTTGAGGTTCTGCAGCTCAGGTATCACCTTTGAAGCTCTGTGTGCAAAGTAATGGTGAATAGTTAGGGTCAGAAAGATAAAAAGAGGGGAAATAGAGTCTCCACCACGTGGAAGAGACCTCTCATGGTTCTTACTTGGTTGG